GCGCCGGCTCGGGTGCTGCCAGTTCGGCGCTAGAGGGGGTTCGTCGCCAACAAAAACGCCTCCGCTGCTCGCTGGTGGAGATCGCTCTCGGAGGACGCACCCCTGGACAGGGGGAATGTTCTCAGGCTAAACAGCAGGCGTGAACGATGCGCGGACGAGCCTGTATTGCCAGTGCGGGGAATTCTCCAATGCTGCATTCGCTGCCGGCTCGGGTGCTGCCAGTTCGGCGCTAGAGGGGGTTCGTCGCCAACAAAAACGCCTCCGCTGCTCGCTGGTGGAGATCGCTCTCGGAGGACGCACCCCTGGACAGGGGGAATGTTCTCAGGCTAAACAGCAGGCGTGAACGATGCGCGGACGAGCCTGTATTGCCAGTGCGGGGAATTCTCCAATGCTGCATTCGCTGTTATCATCCTTATTTTCTTTCTTGAAGGGACTTAGGCCCTCCTCAAAGCTCATAAGAATGTTTGGGGGTTGGGGGGAAATGTGTATGACAAGGAGAAAAATGAACCGAGCAGAGAAAGTAACGGTATTACAAAGGGTAGAGGAAATATTCAAAGTGGGCAGAGGGCGCGGGAGGGAAACGGCAAAGTGGCAGGAGTTGGGGGAGTGGTAGATGAAGGAGTCAGGAGTCAACCTTCCACGCTTAGAAGTTTCTGGAAAAGAAGGGACCCTCCCCTTCAATGTTTTTCAGCCTTGGGTGTTTGTGTCCCCTACTGCAATTGAAGAGGTTTCAGGTTTTGCACTACAGTCAATTGGAGGTAAAGATGTGCAAAAGATGCACTATGTCTAATTCAGCTGCGTGGAGAGAAATGTGAAATGCAAGTGATTCTGAGAATGTGAGGGAGGTTTCTGATTGGTGACTGTACTTTCTCATTAGGAATGCAAATACTCCTCTCTAAAACTGTCCACGCTAATTTAAATGTATGCAAATCACTTCTGAAAAGATAACCAAGTGTGGGATTTATAGATTGGTACTTAAACAGGTAAAATCTGACTTTGTGTCTGATTTTACCACTTTTACTGATATTGACTGACCACATGGGCATTTGCAAACTGAATTTATAATTAACAAACTGTAAAATTAAAGGGCTATAATATAAACCGTTATGTCTAAATAAATAATGTTCTTGGAAGTGTTTAATGACTCATTATACTGATGTTTTAATCCAAAATACTCTTTTTATGTACTTTACTGTCAAAGAATATATTCCCTCACATTTTATAACTAAATTTAAAAATTTAAATGTTTACTTACAATGAATAGTCTTATAGACTTAAGTAAACAAGTCACTAAGAGAAAAATTGTGTCCAAGAAGTCTTTCCTTATAAATGCCTAAAATATACTGTATGCTGTTAAACTAAAGGAATGTATAATATTATTATCGTAGAAATGTGAGCCATGTTAATCTATTTCTAAACTTCTGGTTTTTAAATTAACTAGACTTGCAAGGAGGTTTTTTTAAACAGAAAGAATCCCTAGAGTACAAATATTTAATATCAAAATATCAAATTCTGATACTTTGCTTGAGTATAACATTTTAGAGAATACAATATAAACAAAACACCAAGAAGCTTCTTGTAAAATTATGCTATAAGGGAATGGTTGTAATAGATGGACAGAGAGGGAGAAAAGGAAGGAAGGAAGAAAGGGAGGGAGGAAGGAAGGAAGGAAGGAAGGAAGGAAGGGAGGTGGCTGTTGGTGTTCTTGTTTTTATGCCCCTTCTTGCTGTTGTCTCATTTTTTCAAAAAGGGAAGGGAGGAGGAGGGAGGAAGGGAGGAAGGGAGGGAGGGAGGAAGGAAGGAGGAAAACGATGTACAAAAGCTAAAGTTAATTTCTAGGAATCACACTTAATTACAAATCATGGTACAATATGTGAAACTTAAACTATTATTTACTTCAGAGTAACAAAAACAACTTGATGAAACTGGATTTCTATCCTCACCCCTACCTACAATTCACCTACATTCACAATGTTTGTTTGTTTAAATAAATCAGAGCCCATTATGGTATAATATACTACTTTTACCTGGACAAATAATTGATTGTCACATTCTGTTTTGGAGTGACAAACCAGAAAAAAATAGTTACAACTTTTTTCTCAATATTAAGATAAACACACTTAATGTGTTACAGCGGTTCTCAACCTGTGGGTCGCGAACAATGAAAATACATTCTGCATATCAGATATTTACATTACAATTCATAACAGTAGCAAAATTACAGTTATGAAGTAGCAACGAAAATAATTTTATGGTTGTGGGTCACCACAGCATGAGAAACTGTATTAAAGGGTCGCGGCATTAGGAAGGTTGAGAACCACTGGCACTCTAGAAGATAATGTCCTCATGTAAAAACTTAAAAAAGATTAACTGAAATATAATTATCATGACCTTTGACTATAAGGAGATTCCATGGGTTTGACATAACTATTAATTTCAAAACATGATTATAAAAATAATTACCATAACCATTTGTCTATTTGTGTTAGTGATTATATATATAAGTTTATATTTCTGTACACACATAAAAACAATGTTCATATGTGTATTCATTCTAAAATATTTGTTGAATTCTTTCTATATGGTAGGTTCTCTTCATTCAGAGAAGAGTTAATGGTTATATGAGTAAAAATAATTTGTTTTTAAAAGCTAACTTTTAAAATGTCATCACAGTTATCTTATGTGAGCTAGAAGCAATTGCACTTAACAGAAATGTACTACTTTTTTATTTTTTTAATGTTGACATGTGACAGTTTAAAAATTATAAGCCACTTAAAGCAATATTCATTTAGATTTATCTGCACTTGTCTGTTTAAATCATACCAATATTCAGAAAAGCATTCATGTCTCTTTTTTCAATACTATATTGTTCACAGTTGTTTCATAGTCTCTCAGATCATTGGTTTGGATTCCGGTAAGAATGATTAGATTTTCATTAAATAGAATATATGACACTAAAATTAGTCTTAGCTTTCATTAACAGTGGAAATAATAGTATTCACAAATACTATTTGCTTTTTAAAATGATGAGAGACTTAACTTGCATTAAGTCCTTTGAGACAAAAAAGAATTGTAATGTTTAATAGTCAGCATCTTTCGAAGCTTGAGAAAGTCTTAAGTATTTTATTCCGATAGAAGAGTAAGTTATTCCATTTATATCTGTAATTTTTATTGTCTAAAAAGTCAAGGTAGAAGCAACAAAAAGAATGTTGATCCTGTAGTGTGTCAAAACATCAGGTCTTCAAATATTAGTTTAGTAATTTGAATAGATACAATGTCTAGGACTTTTTTGTTAATATAAAATTGAGAGATATGCTGTAAACAATACTATAATTGCCATGTCATTAACTTTAAAATATAAATTAATTAAAAGATTAAATTGTATGCTTTAGCATGGGAACAGCTAAAGTAAAAAAAAAAAAAAATCCACAAGGTGAAATATAGTAAATTTGAGGCCCTTTGTTTTAAGAAAATAATGTAAGCAGGGGAAAAATGCCCATATTTATGTTAGAATTTTTTTCTTTGATATTAGGGTATAGTTAATATTTTTCTTAAATAAGAAATTCAGAGTAGTGCTGGGTATTTTACCTTATTGTTAGCATATCAAATCTTAAAAATCTCACAGAAAAAATATTAACTTGAGACTACATAAAATGAACTACAGTGTGTTCTGCTGTAATACTTCATTTTGTTCTTGTGTAGTATGGTATTTTATGGTAAAAGAAAAAAAATATATATATATATAATTTACAGGAATAATATATATGTGTGAGTGTGTAGGCTTGTAATCCAATGAAAACATCCTTTCTAGTATTTTTCTAATTCAGTAACCATTTACCAAGTGAGATTTTCATGTGTATTTGTGCTGAGCAATATGGGCAAGGTTCAAAGATTATTATATTTAGTTCCTAACCATCAAGAGTTTATGTTATATTGGAGGACAAAGACATATGATTTATTCCAACACAAATCATTCTATAATATTTCCTAATGAAGTCCCAAATTATCCTATATAATAATAGAGAAACATGGTAATTAGCCGTAACTTCACTACCGTTCCCATTGGCTAATCAGGGCGATATGCAAATTAACTGCCAACCAAGATGCCGGCTGGCAACCAGGCAACTGATGCAAACAGGAGGCTTGCTTGCTCCAGTGACGGAGGAAGCCAAGATTCCCTGCCTGCCACTGCTGGGCTCTGAGCTGCTCTCTAAGAAACATTGTTACAAATATAGAAGCTAAACAAAACCCCAGATACCTGATTTCAGCCAGCGGGGATC